GAAATGATTTCTGAGAATCCATAAGCATTAAAACTGCTTTTCTGTTTCCAGATGTCAAAGCTAGAGATACTGTAGGTTCACTCTGATGCTAAATTACATGCGCGAAGCCCCCACCTCTTCTCTTCACAATGAGTGTGTGTGGGGGACTCCCCCTTCGATTCTATTGGCTCTTACGGTCAGAAAGAGGTGTCAACCATCAAAATCGAGCAAGGGAAGCCAGAGATATGGAAAATCCACCCAAATGACCCCAGAAGTGGTTTATTTTTGCTAAATCTCTCTAAAAAGGTCAAATGTCACTTGTTTTGCATCAATCTTGATACAGGGTACTTATTATATATTGTACTTTGGATTCCTAAAGCTTTTAGTCTACCTTACCATCATCCAAGGGTAGTTTTCACTATAAGTAAAAAATAATTTTTGGACGGACACTAACACTATAATTTACAGTTTTTTACTATGTAAAATCTGAATTTTCTTTAAAATAAAAAACATCTATATTGATTCCGACTTTTCTACATCCAACTCACAGGTTTATCATTACTTTGAGAAAAAAGATTATTAATTTAACCCTTTTAGAAGGGAAGATATTTGTTCTGGGAATGTCATTTTCGAGCCTGAGACCTGAAAAACAGGCTCAGGGCTTAACAGGTTAAAGGAGAATGTGGGGCAGCAGCTGCTGACCAGAAAAGCCGGTCAGGGGCAGTAGGGTGGAATGGTGTTGTTGGACGACAGTGCGCGTATACATCAGGGCTCCACCCACTGTACCCTTGGGCCCGTTCTCATGTCATCAAATGTCCCTCCTCGACTCCTCGGTCCTCCGGTAATGACCCGGAAATGAATTTTAGCGCGCCATGTTGAAGGACATCTCATTTCTCGAAATGCACATCGAGGACCGAGCATCGAGCGTCGAGGAGGCTCTCTGGAGGAGCTATAACCGAGGATACACTGATGGGTCCTCCACTGTCCTCCACGGCTCCTCCGTGGATGCATTTCCGGGAACAGAGATGTTTCAAAGAGTCGTGACGCACGGCCGGACTTATCTCAGCCAATGACAGCTCTGCATGCATCCCCTGGATATTATTTTATTAACTGCTTTCATCGCGACGCGATGTTTACAGAGAGAACAGCTGTGAGGTCCGTGCAGAAAGCAGAGCAGTGTGTATAATATATATCACTCAGTATAACAGGCCTACTCTCTTTATTTGCTTTAGTTTAGTAGATATCTACAAACAAAGAGTCGATATCTTTCTAAAACCATTTAGTGCTTCACATAATAAAATACACAACGGCTGTAGCCTGATTATTATGCTTTAGGAGCTGTAGGTGCGTGTGTGTGGTGTAGGTGTGTGTGGTACAGTGTGTGCGTAGATGCAGCGGACAGACAGGTCTCAGTTGGTTTGGTGTCCTCTGCTTACTTTTAATACTTGTAAATAAAACTTTTGGCCCGTAATTAATTTTCCTCATTGTAGCGACCAGAGAGGGGAGAGGGGGGGGGGGGGGGATATATCCAGTCTCTGATAGTGTTACGTTATTATGAGAGTGCTCTGTTTGATTCTGAAATTGTATACATTTATATAAATATATATATATGTATGTGTGTGTGTGTGTGTCCGCATCTGTAGCCTGTTATTGTCTCATTATACCGCACTGTGAATGAATGAAAGTAAATATATAAGTCGTCATGAACACATCTGTCCATCAGACAGAGGGCTGCTGTGCCTCCTGTCATCATTAATGGACGTCTCTTTAAAATGACCACTCAGAGGAGAGGAGTTCTCATTTCTCTAACCGCCTGCTGCTTCCCCTCCTCTCTCCTCGGTTCCCCTCCTCGGCTCCTCCGCTCGCATCTCCTGTGGGCGGGACTAAGTCTCGAGGATAGGAGTCGAGGAGGGGAGTCGAGGAGGGACATTTGATGACATGAGAACGGGCCATAGAGTCCAGTAGAGGGCGGAGCCTGTGAGAGATATAACGGGGGGGGTTACGTATTGTAACCATAGTTATATCAGCACAGGCGGAGCCCTCTACTCAGGGCACTGTCTGTCCTATTCCGCTCGCTGAAGAGAGGTATAGGATGATAGTCAGGAGGCGAGGCCTCCTTTTATACGGTGTGATGCTCGCGCATTCAGGTAGGCCCGTCCTGGGCCGGCTACGTCTATAGAAGTCTCAGTGGGAGAATGCACGCAGGATAAGGTAGTACCCATAGAGTCCAGTAGAGGGCTCCGCCTGTGCTTATATAACTAGGGTTACAATACGTAACCCCCCGTTTTGAGTACTTGCATCCACTTTTGGACTATGTATTAATATATTTAATTATCTGCAGCACTATTTAGGTATTATATCCACATAGCTATTATTATTATTATTATTAATCAAAAACCTTAATGTGTAAATATATTTGATTTTGTCCACATAGCCCAGCCCTAATCCATTCTAGTAAGTTTCATCATTTTGTGTTTGTGTGAAATTGTTTCTGTTGTTTTCAGGACGGGCAGTATGAGTTGAACAGCCAGCCAACCGGCCTCTGCGTGATCATAAACAACGCACATTTTTTGGATGGTGACGTGAGAGATGGAACCGATATAGATGCGGGTATGTTACTGAGTTGACAGATTAATATTATCATCCCGGTTTTGCCTGTTGAAGCCTGTTTATTCAATTCATAATATTCATTATTTAAAGGAAAATTGCAAATGTATATTCTTCATAAAGATCATGTCAAACAAGTAGCTTTCCATATTCCTCGGGTCCTTCAGGTAGCTCTCACTGTCAACAAGGTTGGGGTCCCCTGCTCTAGTGACTGAACAAAATGTGTTGAAACTGCTAGAAGTGAGTCATAATATTATTATTATTCACTGAAAATAAGTGTAAATGTCAAGTTTCAATGCATTTGTAATAAGGGTGAATTTTATTTAGGAGCATTTGGGTGAAATATGATTACAAAGGGTTTAATACAAGAAATGTAGGCGAATTATCACAGATGAGTGATGGGGGGGGGGTTGAATCTGTTTTGTTTCCCTACAGGTGAAATCATGACAGATTTACTGGAGAAAATAAAGGGGGAACACCAGGATGTTGCTAAAGTTCTGCAAGGTAAGTGGCCATTTTGAAGAAGTGACTATTGAAAATAAACCATTAGCATAGTTATAGTACTATATTTCAGTTTTAAAAGCATAGATAAAACAAACCGTGTTGTTTCAGAGGCAGGTTTACGCAGCAACTCTGACATCCGGTCACTGACTCGAGAAGAACTGCTCGAGCTGTTTCCTGGAACAAAGAACTTCAAACTGAGAATGAGGATCTTTGAAATGATACAAAATCAGGTGAGCTTTATTTTGTTAAATAACAACATGGTGATGTTTTGTAAATGATTACATGTCTTATTTAGCACAGACTATGATCCTATCCGTGACATATGGATCTTAACAAAGATCCGCTATACATTAGTACCAGACATACTGTACATCCAGTTTACTGTATCGAAGTTGATTTCACATGAGCTCCAGTGTGGAACCCCACTGCACCCCCTGGTGGATCAATGATCCATTGCAGCTGGCTTCACAATAATTAAATGTATTTATCACGGGGGTGGTATCAAGTCAGACTGGGGGCCGGCTCTTCATCACGAACCGATCACGGGCCGATCACGGACCAATCACGACCCAATCACGACCCTCGCGTTTCAAACTGTCTGAAATAAGATGCTCCATCTGTAGTCCGGTTATCAAAATATTGATGTATTTATTAAGGAATATGCAGTATATTGATATTTATGATTAACCCTTAGATGCACGAGTGACTGGACCCTACACTCTTCCATAAGTGGGTCAAAAAGGACCCGTATTAGAATAATATGTGTTATATGCCATTTTTGTCATTTTGGTTAAGAAAAATCCCTTGTATAATATTTTGGTTCACACTAGTTTATATTTATTTTTTCACTATTTATAATTTTAGACATTCTTTTTACATTTTGAAAAAAAAACGAAATTCCATAGAAAATGCATGCGGGTCATTTTTGACCCACTTATGGAAGCTTGGGGTAGTAATACAAAAACTACAATTTCTTAAAATGTATCAAATTTAAATTTAAAATTTGAATGGCATGATATCCAAACATGTTTTTTGAGGAATAGGCTGGAATATGAAATGATAAAAAATGTATTTACGAAGATACTCTAAGAAAACCACCTCACCGGGTCAAAAAAGACCCAATTATGCATCTACAGTAAGGGTTAAACAAATAAGCTACATGTTTTGATTATAATTTATAATTTATTAGGATTGCTTTCCACACCAAACCTTACATTAGAGCTTTAATCTCTAATCTCTAACTCCCTAATTATGTCATTTATCCTCAAGTTTGGAATCATTTGTTTTATTGAAAAATCCCCAAAATTATAATTCAGAAACAAATGTATTATTTATATTGAAATAGCAAAAGAAAAACAATTAAATTAGTACATCTTCTACAAAGCTGATGGTCTCAGAGTTTGCCTGACAAGGGAGATAACTGTTTGTTACCACATTTCCCTCCAAAGACCCTTCGATTTTAAATTGTTTATCAGTTCAGAAGAGCGTATGTGACAGTCAAGTCATTTTTAGCCACAACCGGATGTTTGGGGAAATTGTTCCTCGTTGGGTCTACTGTGGTCAAATGAAATAGAGATAAACTGTGATTTGTTTGTCCATAGCATTTTCAGTTCATGTTCACTGATGATGTTATACTGAGAGCTAACCTGTAAGACTAAGCATATATTTCTGTTGTGAGAAACAGTGTTAGTTCTTCATGGAAAACATGACTTTTTTTGCAAACATTTCATAATAAAAAGAAGATCTGTGTGTAAAGCATACTCTCTCCAACCTTAGAGTAAAGTCATATAAAGTAGTCCTCTCAGCCATTTCACTGTGTCCAATCAAGCTTTAATGGAAGGAGATCACAAACTTTTGAATGATATTGTGAATGAACCTGACTAATTGATGTTGCTGTTTTTTCTCATCAGAAGAGCGCTCCAAGGTTGTGAATAAACGGAAAGGTGAGTCATAGTTGGATAGTTAGAAACTCAGATGTTCAAATTTGTTATAACGATTTTGTTGGAACTGCATAGCAAAACACATCATTTTATTCTAGTGTAGGTTCTCTCAAGTTATGTTTGTGTATTAATCTCTTTGATATTAACATCCATTTTCCTCCCAACAGCCAAATTGGTGTACCAGATGGTTGTTACCGGGACAACCTTTGATGCACATGTTCAACTGATGGAGAAAGTGAAGAAGGACGTTAAGGATCAGTTTGATCTTGTTCAAAGCTACAGCAACGACTACGACGTCACTATTGTCTTCTGCCCCATCGTTTCTCGCATGGGGCCAGATGTTGAGTCAGCCATGAGAGATGTTAAAGGTAAGGGAACATTTGTTTCAGCCGGTTCATACTGAATGGAAATGGCTTCTACATTTGTATTCACATAAAGGTTCTTTCTTACCTGTGTAAGCATAGTCAGGTTATCAAAAATATTGATGTTTTTATTAAGGAATATGCAGTATATTGATATTTATAATTAAACATATAAGCTACATGTTTTGATTATCATTTATCATTTCTTAGGATTGCTTTCCACACCAAACCTTACATTTAGAGCTTTAATCTACCATTTTCCTCCCTAATGATCTCATTTGTCCTCCTCTCTTTTTGTGTCCTCAGGCGATAAACCTGTCATTCTGGTTTTGATGCACCACGCATATGAGGCCAAGTTCATTCCAAATGTGCAACAAGGAGCTAACGTTCAGCTGCAAGTCAACGTTTTCTTCCACGAGACAAAACATGGACTGCTCCACTGTAGAGAAAATGGAGCTGTTGTTTGCGAGATAACAAAATATTTAAAAGAGATCCCCATTACAAATGCCCAGGTTGTGGCTGCTGCAGTGGCGGAGCTGGGGGGTGGCTGGGAGTGGCCATCCTGGCAACTCCGTTGGCCATACCAAACACCCTCACCACCACCCTCAAATCAGGTGAGCTTTCAAACTAAAATGTGAGATTTAATAGAGGCTACATAGAAACTAGGCCTTAATTAAGTCATTCAATATTTCTGTAATATAACATTTTTGTTTCAGAAGCCCGTTAAACAGCCCCCCCCCACAAGGGTGAATAACGGCAACCCTTCCAAGGGTATGTACAGCCTTTTAACATCCCTTTCACTTTCACATTTGGCACATACTTGCTATTTTGGTACGGTGAAAAGCCCTGGAAATGCTTGTCACTGAACTTTGAGTTTAGAGTATGTCATCCCAGACTTTGGCCTACTGGGTAAAGGGTAAACATCTGTCCACCTTAGCAGACATATGTGCTCAGTTAATCAAATCTATGTGGTTTATTTTTTTGCCAGTCATTTAATTATGCTATTTCCTTGACATTGTCTTTGACACACGGAAATACCCTATCCATGGTTGGTCTAATGTATAAGTAGAACACTTTGAGCTTATAACCCAAAATGAATGTCCCTTTTGGAGTTGATTTTGAAATGTTTCTTCTTCAAGAATTTTCTCATGTCAATGTTTGTTCATGTTTACAACAGCAGAGTTTTTTCAAATTCTACATGACTGGTAGAAAGTTTGGAATCATTTGTTTTATTGAAAAATCCCCAAAATTATAATTCAGACACAAATGTATTATTTATATTGAAATAGCAAAAGAAAAACAATTAAATGAGTACATCTTCTACAAAGCTGATGGTCTCAGAGTTTGCCTGACAAGGGAGATAACTGTTTGTTACCACATTTCCCTCCAAAGACCCTTCGATTTTAAATAGTTTATCAGTTCAGAAGAGCGTATGTGACAGTCAAGTCATTTTTAGCCACAACCGGATGTTTGGGGAAATTGTTCCTCGTTGGGTCTACTGTGGTCAAATGAAATAGAGATAAACTGTGATTTGTTTGTCCATAGCATTTTCAGTTCATGTTCACTGATGATGTTATACTGAGTGCTAACCTGTAAGACTAAGCATATATTTCTGTTGTGAGAAACAGTGTTAGTTCTTCATGGAAAACATGACTTTTTTTGCAAACATTTCATAATAAAAAGAAGATCTGTGTGTAAAGCATACTCTCTCCAACCTTAGAGTAAAGTAATATAAAGTAGTCCTCTCAGCCATTTCACTGTGTCCAATCAAGCTTTAATGGAAGGAGATCACAAACTTTTGAATGATATTGTGAATGAACCTGACTAATTGATGTTGCTGTTTTTTTCTCATCAGAAGAGCCCTCCAAGGTTGTGAATAAACGGAAAGGTGAGTCATAGTTGGATAGTTAGAAACTCAGATGTTCAAATTGTTATAAAACGATTTTGTTGGAACTGCATAGCAAAACACATCATTTTATTCTAGTGTAGGTTCTCTCAAGTTATGTTTGTGTATTAATCTCTTTGATATTTACATCCATTTTCCTCCCAACAGCCAAATTGGTGTACCAGATGGTTGTTACCGGGACAACCTTTGATGCACATGTTCAACTGATGGAGAAAGTGAAGAAGGACGTTAAGGATCAGTTTGATCTTGTTCAAAGCTACAGCAACGACTACGACGTCACTATTGTCTTCTGCCCCATCGTTTCTCGCATGGGGCCAGATGTTGAGTCAGCCATGAGAGACGTTAAAGGTAAGGGAACATTTGTTTCAGCCGGTTCATACTGAATGGAAATGGCTTCTACATTTGTATTCACATAAAGGTTCTTTCTTACCTGTGTAAGCATAGTCAGGTTATCAAAAATATTGATGTTTTTATTAAGGAATATGCAGTATATTGATATTTATAATTAAACATATAAGCTACATGTTTTGATTATCATTTATCATTTCTTAGGATTGCTTTCCACACCAAACCTTACATTTAGAGCTTTAATCTACCATTTTCCTCCCTAATGATCTCATTTGTCCTCCTCTCTTTTGTGTCCTCAGGCGATAAACCTGTTCATTCTGGTTTTGATGCACCACGCATATGAGGACCAAGTTCATTCCAAATGTGCAACAAGGAGCTAACGTTCAGCTGCAAGTCAACGTTTTCTTCCACGAGACAAAACATGGACTGCTCCACTGTAGAGAAAATGGAGCTGTTGTTTGCGAGATAACAAAATATTTAAAAGAGATCCCCATTACAAATGCCCAGGTTGTGGCTGCTGCAGTGGCGGAGCTGCCGGGTGGCTGGGAGTCGGCATCCTGTCCACCCCGTTGGCCACACCAAACACCCTCAAATCAGGTGAGCTTTCAAACTAAAATGTGAGATTTAATAGAGGCTACATAGAAACTAGGCCTTAATTAAGTCATTCAATATTTCTGTAATATAACATTTTTGTTTCAGAAGCCCGTTAAACAGCCCCCCCCCACAGGGGTGAATAACGGCATCCCTTCCAAGGGTATGTACAGCCTTTTAACATCCCTTTCACTTTCACATTTGGCACATACTTGCTATTTTGGTACGGTGAAAAGCCCTGGAAATGCTTGTCACTGAACTTTGAGTTTAGAGTATGTCATCCCAGACTTTGTCCTACTGGGTAAAGGGTAAACATCTGTCCACCTTAGCAGACATATGTGCTCAGTTAATCAAATCTATATGGTTTATTTTTTTGTCAGTAATTTAATTATGCTATTTCCTTGACATTGTCTTTGACACACGGAAATACCCTATCCATGGTTGGTCTAATGTATAAGTAGAACACTTTGAGCTTATAACCCAAAATGAATGTCCCTTTTGGAGTTGATTTTGAAATGTTTCTTCTTCAAGAATTTTCTCATGTCAATGTTTGTTCATGTTTACAACAGCAGAGTTTTTTCAAATTCTACATGACTGGTAGAAAGTTTGGAATCATTTGTTTTATTGAAAAATCCCCAAAATTATAATTCAGACACAAATGTATTATTTATATTGAAATAGCAAAAGAAAAACAATTCAATGAGTACATCTTCTACAAAGCTGATGGTCTCAGAGTTTGCCTGACAAGGGAGATAACTGTTTGTTACCACATTTCCCTCCAAAGACCCTTCGATTTTAAATTGTTTATCAGTTCAGAAGAGCGTATGTGACAGTCAAGTCATTTTTAGCCACAACCGGATGTTTGGGGAAATTGTTCCTCTTTGGGTCTACTGTGGTCAAATGAAATAGAGATAAACTGTGATTTGTTTGTCCATAGCATTTTCAGTTCATGTTCACTGATGATGTTATACTGAGTGCTAACCTGTAAGACTAAGCATCTATTTCTGTTGTGAGAAACAGTGTTAGTTCTTCATGGAAAACATGACTTTTTTTGCAAACATTTCATAATAAAAAGAAGATCTGTGTGGAAAGCATACTCTCTCCAACCTTAGAGTAAAGTAATATAAAGTAGTCCTCTTAGCCATTTCACTGTGTCCAATCAAGCTTTAATGGAAGGAGATCACAAACTTTTGAATGATATTGTGAATGAACCTGACTAATTGATGTTGCTGGTTTTCTCATCAGAAGAGCCCTTCAAGGTTGTGAATAAATGGAAAGGTGAGTCATAGTTGGATAGTTAGAAACTCAGATGTTCAAATTTGTTTTAACAATTTTGTTGGAACTGCATAGCAAAACACATCATTTTATTCTAGTGTAGGTTCTCTCAAGTTATGTTTGTGTATTAATCTCTTTGATATTTACATCCATTTTCCTCCCAACAGCCAAATTGATGTACCAGATGGTTGTTACCGGGACAACCTTTGATGCCCATGTTCAACTGATGGAGAAAGTGAAGAAGGACGTAAAGGATCAGTTTGATCTTGTTCAAAGCAACAGCAACGACTACGACGTCACTATTGTCTTCTGCCCCATCGTTTCTCGCATGGGGCCAGATGTTTGAGTCAGCCATGAGAGACTTGTAAAGGTAAGGGAACATTTGTTTCAGCCTGTTCATACTGAATGGAAATGGCTTCTACATTTGTATTCACATAAAGGTTCTTTCTTACCTGTGTAAGCATAGTCAGTGTTATCAAAATATTGATGTTTTTATTAAGGAATATACCTATATTGGTATTTATAATTAAACAAATAAGCTACATGTTTTGATTATCATTTATCATTTCTTAGGATTGCTTTCCACACCAAACCTTACATTTAGAGCTTTAATCTACCATTTTCCTCCCTAATGATCTCATTTGTCCTCCTCTCTTTTTGTGTCCTCAGTGATAACCTGTCATTCTGGTTTTGATGCACCACGCATATGAGACCAAGTTTCATTCCAAATGTGCAACAAGGAGCTAACGTTCAGCTGCAAGTCAACGTTTTCTTCCACGAGACGAAACATGGACTGCTCCACTGTGGAGAAAATGGAGCTGTTGTTTGTCGAGATAACAAAAATATTACAAGAGATCCCCATCCAAATGCCCAGGTTGTGGCTGCTGGGCATTCTGGAATATCTGACCAAATCAAGGCGTGGGCATTTGGGCCTTTTACCTCCAAAGATTAATTTACTTGACTTTAGATTTGGCAGTGTTGGTGCGAGCAACGATGATATGTTTTCCTCTCAAGTAAAACAACAAAGTGTAATGGATCACTAACAACACAAGTCAAGCAGTCAAAATGTGATTTATCAGACAGTTTTGATTTTACTCTTCTACCATAATCTGAAAACTGAATTGTATTCTCCTTTTTGAGAAGAGAGGTTGGCTACTAATTTGTAGTCCAATTATTTATATCTCTGTGTAATATTTCTCCAGTTGCTACTGTGGTTTCTCTATATACTGTATTATGACATGAATGTAAAGGAAGTGATTAAAGACTGCAACAAAGCTTAGTCATTTGCCAAAAGATTACCTTTCGAATACATACATCCGCCAGAAATGTAATTATTGCTGCAAATATTAGAATAAAATGAGCACGCACCAGTTATATTGGTTTTAATGCTATGAATGTTAATTCTGCTGCATATTATAGCAGCAATAGCAATTAATTCTAAGATTGGTTCCCAGAGTTTATGTTATGTGTGATGACGATATACTTAATACTTTCTATTAAACTGCCGTTACAGCAGGTCAATCACTTTGTCTGAAGTCCTTTTTTAGATATAGTTTATATGACATACCATCATGAAGCTGGAACATGTATCTTTTTGACATAAATAGTTCAAGAATAGTGTTGACTCAAATGAATAATACACTCTGATAAATTAAAAAAAACCTATAGGAATCTAACAAACGTTATGATACGGTTTTTGGATTAATTTACATTCTTGTACTCTCTTAAATGTAACCTCATTGTTGTGGCAGGGAAATTGAATCGCAATCAGTTTTAGAGGTAAGTTTTATTTAAACTATCGAAGCTTATTTAAGCTTTGATATATTTTATATGGATATTCACGTGGTTGGTGGTCAAATGCAGCCATCAAAACTGAGCCATCCAATAATGTAAAGTCACATGCAGAGGAGCAGTCATGAAATAAAATGTCAAATAAATTCTTGGATTCTAAGGCTTTTGTTCATGAAATGAGAATTGTTTTATTTCTGTTGATGTAGCCTAATACATGCTCACAACTGAACATCCCGATACTATCATCTTAGAGTTAAACACATACTGATATTTTGTGAGTAGTGTAAGGAAGACTCCAATGAAATCCCAGCTTCTTTAACTTGCAGTTGTTAGACCATCACTAATAAAAAAACGTTTTTGTTATTCAAGATATCTATATACAAGGTCAACCAGGAGGAATACCATTTGGGGTTTATGAGCTACATCAACGCAAAGTGATAACGCCTTTATTGTCTTAAAAAAAAAGCTTATTCAATTGTGGTTTTAATATTTTACCTTTCAAAGAATCTGATCTATTTTAAGTTTTAGATACAGAGACCATCAACTGCTTTTATTTCCTCTACACTTTTACAATTTCGCTTGTCTCAAACAAAAACCTTTCCATTACCACACCATTGTTTAGCCTCAAACAACATGTTAAAGATGGTGAACTATGCCTGTGCAGTCTTCCTCTGAAGAGGATAATATAAAGCTAAACTTACCTTAACATGTTGTTTGTGTCTCTACCTCTGAGTTTAGCTGTACCAACCTGCAGGTGAACAGATTAGGCTACTGTAAAACGTTGAGATTGAACGAGATATCGACAGCCTCAGCAAACAATGTGAACACAAATCACCACAGACTCAAAACTATTATGTTATTATTAGCGGTGGCGGTTCTAGACCAATTTTACAGGGGGAGGGGTGGTAGTTAGTATTCTTTTGAGAGGGGCACAATAACGCGGGTTAAAAAGACAAAGACAGTTTAAAGTAATAATTGGCCGTAAAATAAAATATGAAATTGGTATTTGTTCTGTACAGTATTTATTACAGTAACTTTAAGTTACAGTTCTTTGTTTCAGTAGTACTTTTTTATATTTACAGTACTTGTTTAAGTTACTAAGTTACAATTAAATTAAATGACATAAACAGTATTTGCTGCAACACTGAATATAAGGCACTGAACAGTTGAATCTCTACTGTACATCCGGGTCTCTGCATCCCAGGCTGAGGGTTTCTCTTCTTTCAGATTACAGCAACAATATCCTGCGGTTTTGGGATTTTTAGTCTCTCAACGTCTAGGCTTGAATGTTACTTGAATTAAAAAGGGAACAGCCGCTGGTCAGAGATGACAAGTGTTATTTT